CCTACAGCCCAGAGCTGCTCTAGCGATCCCCACTCTGAGCCCTTCTCCCCGGAAACAGTTGCAGGCGGCCGGTGCTGCTAGATGCCCCTGGGGTTCAGGACCTGGTTGATTCTGAATCACCGTTGGCCAGTTGGCCAGTGTGCGTTCAGAAACCTCACTGCTGCCCATTCTCCTCAACCCGCGTTCAGTTAGTTATACAGCTTCATGGGGTGGGGTGGGGTGGGGGATTCGAGACCCACGGGTTAAGAAACACTGGGCAAGACAAGACCTCGAGGGAGCCCCAAAGCTGCTGACCAAGAAGGGGTGGACACCACCCCTGGCCCCGCTCCTATCCTCCAGGACAGAGAGGCCATAAAGGTCTGTCTTTGAAGCCAGATTTGTGGCTGTGCTTAGACACGGTAACAGTGACTCGATGGGACATGGGCTACATGCGTGTGTGTGCGCCCACCAACTAACTAAAAGCTTAGGCTGGATCCACCTGGGCTCAGGCTCCTGTCGGGCCACTTGCAGGGCCCAAAGCAGAACTGCTGCCGCCACCCGTGTATCTAGCTCCCGGAAAAGGACATGTGGGTCTAGAAGCAGGCCTGGAGCCAGGAGCCCCCGGGTCCCCTGAGCCCAAGTCCAGGGTGGCAGTGGGGTCAATACCAGCGATGCCCGGTGGGAAACAAGACTGCTGGGATCAGAGCAAGGAGGGACCCCCACAGAACATTCCCAGGATGCTTTGCTGGTGGTTGGCCAATCACGTCTCCGGGGATGGTTCCAACTCCCGGAGCAGTACATTTGGTTTATGTACGGGCGAGAAAAGGGACAGGCTTATCAATGATGACCGGAAAGTGAGGCTGAATGGGGAGGAGCCAGAGAGAAGGCCTTGGGGATGAGGATCTGCTCTCTGAAGCCAGACTCTGGGGGCCCGGGAGAGGACCTGTTTGCCACCAGCAGTGCTTGGGGGTCAGGGATGCTGGGACACGCCCACTTCCACCTGTCCACTCCCTCCCACCTCAGCCCCACCCCTGGGCTCACCTTGCACCACCAGCCGAGTTTTCCCCATGGCACTGCCAGCGCTGTTCTGAGCAACACAGAAATAGTTCCCGGCATCCTCTCTGCTGGCGTGGACAATCCGCAGCTCTCCGCTGGGGAGGACCTGGGTTCTTGCTCCTGGATGTGGGGAGGGGGAATCGGGACCAGGGTGACTGGGGTTGTGCTGTCTGACCTGGCAGCTAATGGTCACAGGCGAGCAAGAGGAACAGCCTGCCCAGAGCCCAGGGGGCCGCCTCCTCTCCCCGCCCTCCAGGCTCTGGGCTGGTGAAAGGAGACAGGGAGAGGGTGAGGGTAAAGCTAAGGTGTGGTGGGGAGTGGGGAGTGGGGGGTTGTTGAGCAGCCACTCAGCAGGCCTGCCGAAGGGAGACTCTGGCCTGCACCATCCTTCCGCCCAGGGCTGCCATGGAAATGCACCTGCAGGGAGACTGAGCCCCTCCTTCCGCCAGGTGATGCTTGGTTGGGGAATGCCAGAGGCCTCACAGGGCAGCACCACCTCGTCCTCCTCCACCACCTGCACCACGCTGGGCAGCGGCTTCACCACGGGCGAGGCTGTCCAAAAGCAGGGCAGAGGTCCTTGCGGTCACTCTGTCACCAGGGCCCTCTGGCCAGGTGAACTCTGACCTCCCCCCGGGAAGTAGAAAGATTCTTTTCTCCCGGAATCCCATCAGGGAGTCAGGGCAGAGGCGGGTCCTCACTCCCATCCCTCCACCTCTCCCTTACCACCTGCTCCACTGCCCCAAGGGCTGCCTTGCGCTCACTCGCTCACCTTGCACGGTGAGGACCACCTGCTTGTGGGCCACACCTGCGGAGTTGCGGGCGGTGCAGGTGTAGCGGCCAGCGTGGATAGGGAGGGCCTGCCCGATTTCCAGGGCTCCTGGGGGGGCGGGGGTTGGGGGTTGGGGGTAGGCAGAGAGAAGATGGGGGCAGATGTGCCCAGTGGTGGAACGGCTGGGTCCTCACACAGCCCAGGCCATTCACACTGCCTGTCCAGCCTATGGTCGAACAGCGCTGAGCACAGACACGGTGAGAACTGGGGGCCAGGCCAGCCTGCTCCCCACCCAGAGCATACACATAGGCAAGTCCCTTTCACCCACTGGGCCTCAGCCTCCTTGTGTGTTCAAAGAGGACTCAGATGACACCGTCTCTGATCTGCCCTGGCCAGGCCACAGTTCCACAAGCCCTACTCATCCTGCTGCGCTCCGTTGCCTCCTCCAAGAAGCTGCTTCGGATTGCTGCCCCGTCTCCTCCTCCCCTCAGCCCTGGGTAGGCAGCGAGCAGACACCACTGTACCATTCCTGGACCACAGACTCCACCTCAACAGTCGAACGGCTTCTCAGCCATCCTCCCCCGGCCCCCTGCGGGCCTGCTTGGTGCGAGGGAGGGAGGACCACTGGACTCGGGGCCGCCTTCCACGTCCCTGGCCAGCGGTCGCTGCCAGCCAGCTTGTTCCACAGCCGGGCTTTGCCCTAACCAGCTCCTGAAGTTCACATAGAGCCAGCAGGGCCCCAACTTCAGGATTCCACCAGCCAAGGAATCGATTGCTTTAATTTGGGAAGGTCCCATAACGCTTCCCAGCTCCTTATGTTGACAAGCAAAGCCGTTTAAAAAGAAATACATAAACACCGTCCATGACAACCCAAGCTTCACAAAATGAAGGGATTTTCAACACACACACAGGCATCATTTCAGAATAAAGGTCCCACACAAAACCACCCCATTGCCTTGCAGTGAAATCTGACTCACAGCAACGGTAAATCCTTGTGGGGGCAGACAGCCTCATCTCTCTCCCACGGAGGAGCTCGTGGGTTTTGAACTGGCAACCTTGCGGTTAGCAGCCCAGTGCTATTCCCTCAGCACCACCAGGGCTCCTTGAATAAGCTAAGTTTTCCCAGCAGAGAAGATCCGCTCTAGGAAAACACTCTCTGTGGTTCTTTTTTCCTTTCTCATTTTGCTGTCAACTAGTGTCAGAGAACTGCTAACAGATCTCAAAGCTGCAGTGCATGCAGGGAGTCATGAGGCCCAGAGAGGGCAAGAGGGCCCCCCAGGCCACACAGCGAGAGAACAGCAGAACCAGGCCAGAACTGTCCTTCCTGCCCTGCCACATGGTCTTAACTAGCCCCTTTTACCTGCACTGTCCAGTGTTCCTGGTCCCCCTCTGTGGCGCACCCTTACTGACCTGCTGGGGAGACACGATAGCCGCTCCCCCGCAGCCCCAGCTGGGCGCCTCCCTTGCTCCAGGACACCGTAGGGGCTGGGATGCCAGTGCTGTGGCACGTGAGGACCACGGGTGCCATCCTGGTCACCGTGAAGTCTGTCTGGTCGTCAGCAATGGTGGGAGGCACTGAAATGCAAGATAAGGCTTGAGGTCCTGCTGAGGTCTGCAGGGAACACGTGGGCACAGGGACAGGAGCATGAGAAGCATGAACGGAGTGGACAGTGAGTGGCCAAGGGCCAGCGAGGGCTGTGCATAGAGGGGAAGCCACATGCCATCACTCTGCCTCTCTCTTGCTGGGGGCAGGAATACCGTGCCCAAAAGCTTTCTATAGGGACACGGGGTGCAGGGAAGAGTGCTCCTGGCAGAGGGATCAGCATGCATGCAGGCTCCAGGTGAGGATTACCAGCGGTGGTGTAAGCTGCAGCAGGAGCAGGGTGGGGGAGCTGGACCCCGCAGGACCTGGTCTGGGTGGTGTACTTTTGGACTCAGTCCCCACAGCAGGGAGGGATTTTAGCTCAGGTGGTGACAGTGAAATTTGGGTTTGGGAAGCTCTGGGTTGTGGAGAGGAACTGCGCCGGAGGCTCAGGTTATTTTATGTTGGTGTTAGTGAGGTGGGATCGGAGAGGGCTCGCTGGAGCAGATGCCCAAGAAGAACCCAGTGCCAAGCCCCTGCAGGCAGAGAGAGTGACCGAGGGCGGGAAGGTGCCTGGCCCTGCTCCACCCTTGTACTCACTGTGAATGGTCACCCAGTAGAGCCTGCGGGCCTCTCCCACCTCATTGCTCACTGCACACTCAAACTGGCCCGAGTCCTGGGGGCTGGGGTCTGCGAGGAGCAGGGCATTGGAAGGCAGGAGCCTGGGACAGATGGACAGATGGTTGGCTGCTGCATAAGAGGCCACATGGCCTCCCTACCGGGGCAGCCTGCATTTGAGGGCCCTTGGCCATTTCCCCTCCCTGCATCTGGACTCCCACCTTGACTCAAAACATGTCTTCTAGAAATCTCTGCCCCCACCAAGATCAGCAGTACATACTTCGCTCAGGTTGCTGGGATGATGGGTGACGGGTGTTCACTCACCTGGCCTGTTTCCTACAACACCTGTCCAGCAGACGTGCCTCATCAGAACTACCCTCCCAGCCCTCATCACAACTGCCCCCGTGCACTGAGTGTCTGCTCCGGGCAAAGCGCCCAACACAGTGAACACGTGCTGACTCCCCCGGTGCGTCTACGCCCTCAGTCCCCCAACCGTCACTGAATTCTGCCATCCTCGAGAACACAGGGACCCAGGGACGCCTGTCACGTGTCCTAACTGGAGCCCTTTCTAACCCACTAGTGACTGCCGGCGCTTTGAAGGACAAACATTTTTACTCTTGGGCTGTAGGTCCCAAAGGCTCCCATCCACTGCCAGGTGCCCATCGTGGTGTAAAGACACTCTGGCCCCAAGGTCGAGCACATGAGTGCTGGCCCTTGGGGGAAGGAGCCCAGTCAGCACAGGGGTTACCCATGGAATTGCTAACAGAAAGTCAGCGCGTAGAACCCATCCGCCACTGGGATATGGCACCTGCTTCAGTAACAATGACCGTCGAACTGATGGGCAGTTGTACTCTGTCCTCTAGGATCACCCGGCTGACGTAGTGGTTACGCAGGGGGGGTGCTAATTGCAAAGTCAGCGGTTCAAAACCGCCAGCCCCTCCAAGGGAGAAAGCTTGGTCTATCTCCTCCCATTAAGAGCTACAGCTCAGCACCCCGCAGGCCAGTCAGCACCAACTCCATGGCATGCAGTTTGGGTTTGGGTTTCTCATGGCCGACTGGATGGCAGCAAGCTTGGGGTTTGGGGTTTGCCTTTGGTGAGACCCCCAAGGAGGTAGGCCCCAATTCCAGACCAGGGTCCTCCTCAGGGAGATGGACATCACCTGGGGCTACTGAGGGGCCAGCTTGTTACCGGTAGGTGTCCTGCTGCAGGCGGAAGTCCAGCTTCTGTCCGTCCTTCCACCAGACCACGAGGGGCTTGGGGGAGCCACTGGCCTCACAGGGCAGGGAGGCTCGGGTGTGGGCGGTCAGGGTCAGGTTTGAGGGGCCAGGTGCAATGGCTGGAGGCTCTGGGTGGGGGAGGGAGAGGGTAGACATCAGGAAGCAGGGTGCAGGGTGGGGTCATGGACAGAGGGCGCTAGCTCCTACCCTCAACCCATCCTGAGAGAGGCATGAGGAGGTCTCTCAGAGCTGGGACAGCGGGACCTTGGTCATCACCAAGGACGGTGTCCTTGAGTTGTTGCTCCTTGAACAAGGCCTCTAGGGCTCTACGCAGCTCACAGTCCCCGAGCCGGGGCCCCAACGCGGTCTCAACCAAAGTGTCCGGGGGAGTGGGAGCGGGGCGCGCAGCCGGCGATGACAATGATGTTATGCCCACCCTTCCCCACATTTCTGTCTGGTCACACACTGAAGGAGGCCTGGTGGTGCAGCCACACTGGGCCGCTAACTGAAAGGCCAGCAGTTCAAGCCCACCAGTTGCTCCGTGGGGGAAAGAGGAGGCAGTCTGCTCCATGAAGACTTACAGCCATGGGAAACCGCAGGGAGCAGTTCCACTCAGTCCTCTAGGGCCGCTAGGGGTTCGAGTCCACTGAATAGCAGTGGTCTGTTGTTGCTGTTCTATCCCACGGGCCAGGTAATGGCACAGTGGTCAGGAGGGGAATGCTGTGTGCCCTCAAGTCGGTTCCAGCTCATAATGACCCTAGGGATGACAGAGTGAGACCCTGCCTGACCTGCGCTGGCCTCACGGTGGGTGTGATGTGTGAACCCATGACACAGCCACTCTGGCCGTCCATCTCCTTGAAGGTGTAATCCGTGGGTGAAGATGAATATGCATACTTAGAGTGTGGGGTATCAATTGTGTGCTACACGCTTGATACTAATTCTCACTCTGAAACATGTGGAGAGCACGGAGCTCCTGACTCTGGACATCCGGAGTGGCCCAGAAGTCCGGCAGCACACCGCCCAGACAGAGGCCAGGGCTGGGGCCACCTACCAAGGACCTGGAGGTGGTGGCCTTGCCGGTCGGAGCCTGCGGAGCTGGCTGCCAGGCAGAGGTAGTGGCCAGCATCCTGGGCCAGGACCGGCTGGATCCTCAGGGAACCGTCGGGCAGGAGCTCCAATCTGGAAAAGAGGCGGGAGATGGCCAGCAGCTCTAGCTGGGCACCGTGGACACCCGGATCCCTAGTGCTATCCCCAGGAAAACCTTCCTCTTCACCCCTTGTCCCAGGAGAGGATGTCATTCAGGGGCCAGAGCCCTGTGTCCACGAGGCCACGGTCAGAGGGCCTTTCCCCGCATCCCAGAAACACCCCAACCCAGCATCAGAGGAGACAGGAGCTGTGCAGGTCTCCCTCAGTCAGCCTGGGTCCCTTCCCCAAGGCCAGGCCCACAGCCAGGTCTGCACTGTGGAATCCCGCCCCAGCCCCAGCGAACTGGACTGGGCGTGGGGGTGTCACCCAGGCCAAGTCCAGGGCATGCTATGAAATGTTGGAATTGGGATGCACAGATGCCTCAGCAGGTTGGGTGAGCTGAGGAACGGGGGCACACCTCTGCCACGCACACAGAGGAAGCAGGTGTGCAACAGCACGACAGCGAGAGAGGCCTGAAGCACACACGCATGAGGACACGCCTGCCCTCGGGTTCTGCCCCTGCTCGTGCGACAGTCAGCGTCCTGCTCCAACTGCCCTTGGGGGGCTTTTGCTTCCACCCGCAGAGTGGCACTGGACAGGTCTGCCGACCCTTCCCAGCTCCCACCTTGGGTTCTCAGGATCCAAGGGGGCGCCATCCTTCCGCCAGCTAATGAGAGGCTGGGGGACCCCGTCGGCCTGGCAGGCCAGCAGGGCCGTGTGGTTCACGGAGGTATTCACTGTGGGGGGCCCCGGCCGGATGGTGGGTGTCGCTGTAGGAGCAGAGAAAGCAGGTGCTGGGAGCCCCGTGGGGCTGTGGGGTGGGTATGTGGGGGCAGGGTGGGGGTGTACTCACTGTAGATGTCCACTCGGAAGGCCACGCTGGTGCTGCCCGCAGCATTGCGAGCTGTGCAGCTGTAGTTGCCACCGTCGGCCATGCTCAGGGCCTGCAGCTGGAGGAACCTGCCCTGCTCAGGGAACTGTGTGTGGGCATCTGCCTGCAAAGTGCCACGGGGGTGGGGGGTGGGGTGCATGCAGGGAGACACCATCAGCTTTGCGCCAGGCCCCAGGCCCCCTCCGCCAGTGACCGTTCAGAGAGAGCAAGGAAAAAGTCAGGCCCCGTTGTGAGCTACCCTGTAGGCCCAGGGGAAGGGAGAAGCAGCCTGAGTGGAGCACTCCTGTCTGGGGAGAGGCCGAGGGGATACGTGCTCAGACAAGGAGCTGGCTTTCCGGCTGCAAGGCCCAGCAGTCCTTGGGGCCATGGCAGCCAGCTGGAGGGCAGCGCTCAAACCAGTCTGGGACAGGCCAAGTCAAACAACCACAGGCTATAGTGGGAAGAAGTCCTGGGGCAAAACCTCAATCTTCCGGTGCGTGACATGGGCATGACCCAAGAATGTAGGCAAGAAAGCAATACTTTCTGGGTCCGGTCCGGTCTCCTCCTGGAGACCCAGGCTGGCACCCACCTGCAGCAGGATGCCATCTCGGTGCCACTCAATCTCGGGTGCTGGCTCTGCCTCCACTGAGCACTCCAGGACCAGCTGCCCTGGGGCCAGGCCGACCACCAAGCGGGAACCTCGGGGTCCAACAATACTGGGCGGGGCTGGGCAAGGGCAGAGAGGACAAGCGAGATGGACTCTCCTGCCTTCACTGTGTCCCCTGCCACCGTCTCCCACCTCTGCCCCTGCCTCTGCACCCTCTACCTCGCACTCGGACCCGGAAGCTCTTCTCAACTTCACCAGCAGGGCTCTTGGCCAGGCACGTGTACAGCCCCGAATCCCCCACCTGGGGGTGGGGTGGAGTGGAGTGAGCGCCTGACTCGGGGCCTGCCTGTCCACCCCCAGACCTGGTTTCCTTCCAGCACATGCCCATGGCTACCCACCCACCCCGCCTCCAGTCCGCCGCATACACCCTGCCTCCTCCTCCTCATGCCCCCCACAGGGCTGGGCACAAAGGCAGCCCCTTCCCTGCCCCCAGGCTCCTCCCACAGCAGGCACCTGGACTCCCTCAGCCCGGAGCACTCTGCCGGCCCTGCTGCTGGTCTCTGGCCGGCTCAGGGGCTGCCCGTCCTTGTGCCAGGTGACGTTGGGTGGGGGGCTTCCCCGGGCATCACAGAGCAGCTCTAAGGGGGCCCCAGGAGTCAGCAGCAGCTCCGCAGTGTGGTCTGCATCCTCAATGTGGGGAGGATCTACAAAAAACGCCCCCGCCCCCGTTCAGCAGTGGACCCCCTCCCCGAGGGGGCTGGGACCTGTGGCTCATCTCCCCATAGGCAGGGCCACAGGGCCACGGGTTGTGGGGGAGGCTGAGGGTCCACCTTTAGGAAATAGCACCCACCCTCCAGGGTGAGTAGCAATGAAGGGGGCTTTAAAGCCAACAAGTATGAGGAGAAGACATGGTGTGCAGCATCGGGCTGGGACCCTCAAGGTCAGCAGTTCAAAACCACCAGCGGCTTCACTCGAGAAAGATAAAGAGCTATGGTCTCGGAAACCCACAGGGACAGCTCTACGCTGTGCCCCCTCTAGTCTAGGGTCACTATGCGTCGGCACCAACTGGACGGCAGTGAGCTTCCCCCAACGTGTCCATCTTTGTGCTTGAAACTTAGGGTTCTACCCCCGATCTTGGTGCTTCTTCCTGCCAGGCAGGTTTGGGGGAGGTGGCCACAGCTCAAGGTCCCAAGATAATCAAATCCCAGTCATCCATGATCCTGAGGGCAAGGCCAGTGACCCAGCCCGTCTCCTAAGCCCTGCTCCCAGGCAGCAGCCCCAGCCATCGAAGGCCTCTCTCCTTCCCCATTTTCTCCACACGGCCCCCCTCCCCGGAGCCCCTCCCTGTCCTCCCCGGCCCAATGCCAGGGTAGATGACCCACCCATCACCGTCAGCTGGAAGTGCCTCTGGGCTTCGCCCACTTTGCTCTCGGCCAGGCAGGAGTAGGCCCCCGAGTCCGCAGCGCCCACCGTCTCCAGCCGGAGGCCAGGCCCCTGCTCCAGGCTCTGGGGAAACAAGGGCTCCCCATCCTTCATCCAGGACACGAGGGGCAGCGGGCTGCCGCGGGCCTCGCAGGGCAGGAGCACCGAGGAGCCACGGAGCACGGCCACGTCTTTCTGGAACTCCACCGGCTCCAGGACAGGGGGCACTGTGCAAGCCAAGGGTGGGCAGGACCCGTTTTATTCCATGCCAGGCTGCCCTCACTGGCCCTTCTCCCAGACAATCCCTTCTCAAATCTCCAACCTCGACTCCTCAGGGAGCCCTCCCTCAGAGCCTCTCCACCCTCCCCCAGCATCCTTTCCCGGTTGCCATGGAGTCACTGGGGCTCATGACAGACGTGCCAGAGTAAAACTGCGGTCCACTGGGTTTTCCACACGTGGATTGCCAGGCCTTTCTTCCCAGGTACCTCCAGGTGGGCTCGAACCTCCCACCTTTCATGTAGCGGCGGAGTGTGTTCACTGCTTGCACCTCTACTTCCTTCAGCTCATCTCTCGACAGAGCACCCGCCCACACCCACCTCATGGAAGCAAATAGGATATTCTTTGTTGGGAAGCTTCTCTCTGCAGCTCCTATGCAGGCGTCTCCATCCCGCACTGACAGCCTTTCAGAGCTGCCACCAGGACTAGTGAGATGGCATCCCCCCAGATGGGGGAGGGGGACCCTCCCCTCCACCCAGATGAGCTGAAGGGACAGGGGTCTGGATTCTCACCTGTCAAGGCCAAAGGGACCTGCACCCCCCACCCCCAGCTCCATACCATGCACGTGCAAGGTGAAGTTCCTGTCTGCCACGCCAGCCGGGCTTGCGGCCACACAGGTAAAGACGCCCGAATCTGCCAGCTGCACCTGAGAAATCCTGAAATCCCAAGAGGAGAGAGGGGGGCCGGCTCGGTGGACGTGCGAGGCGGAACAAGTCCAGCCAGCCTCTGCTTAAAACCCTTTCCTGGCTCCCCAGTGGCCCCACAGTACAGGCCCACACTGCTCCCCACCCTAACCCTGACCCAGTTGGACTCATCCACTGCCAGACTTCCTGCTTCCCAAATTCTAGAAGTTTCTCTGGTGCCTAGGCCCCTGCCGGTCCTGTCATGAAGGAGACTGTTCTCTGGCTTCACTGTTGTCTCATATGTGTCCCCTCTCTTTCTCCACAACACCCTCCAGCCAAACTCTGGCCCGAACCACTCCTAAGCCTCTCTTATAAGGTCGTGACTAAGTGGCAGAAAGTCAAAATCGGTGGTCAGTTCCCAAGCCTCTGGTCGCTTAGCTCGCTGGTCCCCCCCGCCCCCCTGCACCCCATCTCTTCCTCCTCCCTGCTTGCCCCAGCCCCTCCTTCTTCCTTGGCCCTTATCTCTGTTGTCCTGGCCAACACTGGCATCAAGGCCGCTCTCCACACTTGCTCTGGGAGTTACACCCAGCCCTACCTCCTAAAAGCACCTGTTTGCTGACGATCCCCAAATGTCCATCTCCCCAAACTCTGCCCTGGGATAGATACGTCCAGCTTGCCTCTCCCGTCTCAGCGCCTCACAAACCCATCGTTTCAGACGCAACCTTAGAACGTGCGCCTCTGCCGTGGTCCCATCACAGGCATTACAGCCTCAGAAACCCTCCCTGAGAGTCAGAATTGATTCGATGGCGGTGGGTTTTAGGAAAGGAAATAATCTTTCCAGGGTCCTACGGGCCCTGGCCTCCCCCACGCTCCCCCACTCATTCTGCTCTGTGAACACAGCAGGCACATCCCGCCTCAGGGTCTCCATGTGTCCCCTGCCCATGTCTAGAGTCTGGACACCTTTTCCCTGAAACACGCTTGCCCTTCTCTCACCTCTAGGCTCACCTCAGTTGCCACCCGGACCCCCTAAAGCAGCGCCCCCTACTGTCACCTTTCAGCCACTCCCGGCCTTGCATGCTTACCTCTGTTTATTTCCCACCCTCTCTCCCCACACAGACACCTGTCCCTGGCCCCCTGAAGCTTGCAGGGACAGGGACTTCTGCTGTGCTCACAGCTCTGTCCCGATGATTGAACACTAGTAGCACCTCATAAGTGTCCTTGATTTGGCTCAAGCACCTTCTTCCAGGAAGCCTTCTCGGATTTCCTCTGCCCCTGGGCCAGGCTGAGTTGGGGAACCCCAGGTGTGTTCTCTGGATCCTGTCTCTACCTCTCTTCCCCCATTGGACGTTGCAAGTGTCCATCATCTCTGAGCCCTAGTGATGTTCTATTTGGGGCTGGGGTCCGCCAGCGCTGCCCATCATAAGCGTCTATCTGTTGATAGTGTTTGTATTCCCCAACCACTTGATATGTTTAATACTCCAACTGGAACCTGCGACCAGCCTGGATGGGGAGCCTGTCCCACCTGAGGGTGCGGCCGGAGTTGTAGAGGTGTGTGTGCTGGGACAGCGGGAGCGGCAGGCTGTCCTTCAGCCAGCTCACATGGATGGGTGGGGAGCCCCGGACTGGACACACCATGGTCACCAGCTCGCCGGGTCTGCTCACCAGGGTCCCCATGCTGCCTGCGCCCTGCTCAATGGTGGGAGGGACTGGGGGTGTGGGGGGAAGCAGAGAGGGCAGAAGGGGATCCGTGAGGAGGCTCAGGGCAGGTGGCCTTTTCGTTTGAGAAATGGGGGAGGGGGGGGTGGCAGCCATGCCCTGAGGCTCTATTTTGCCTCCATTTACCCCCTCCTTTTCCCGTGGGCACCCCTGGGGCTGTAGTGGCTGAGACTCCAGCTTGTGGAAGACAGAGCAGCCCACAGAGGTGGACTCAGGCCTCGGCTGATAGTACGGACCTAGTAGAAGCCAAGCCCAGCTCTCACCCTCTCACGGACCCTCCAGACTAGCCAGACTGTTGAAGCCCAGGATGGTGGGGCTGCCCTCGGCCCCCCCCATCACCCCGCATGGTCTGTTTCCTCACCCAGCACGTTCACGGTGTGCAGTCTGGCATCCTCCCCGGCAGGGCTGCGGGCCACGCAGGTATAGGCTCCAGAGTCCGAGGCCCGAAGGCCCTTCAGCACCAGGGAATGGCCATCCAGGTAGAAGCTGGAACGGGGGTGGTAGGGGTAGGGGTTTTTACAGCAGAGGGCAGGCGTATGAGGGTCTAGGACCCTGCTGTCTGTGTGCTGAGGGTCCAGGCTTAGACTTACCGAAGGTGGGGACCCAGACCCTGGTCCAGTGGGCTCCCATCTTTCAGCCAGACCACATCCGGTGGTGGCTGTCCCTCCACCTCGCAGTCCAGGTATGCCTCCTGTCCCTCCGGGATGGTGTGCTCCTGTGTGGCTCCTGAGCTCCGGATCCTAGGGGCCACTGTGGCAGGGGTTGTGGATAAGGCCTGGGGCAGTGGCAGGGGCAGGCCTGGGGTGGGTCCAGGTGGAGCACACAGGACAGAGACGTACCCAGCACGGCCACCAGGAAGTCCTTGCGGGCCTCCGCCTCGGCATTCTCGGCCACACAGGTGTAGGTGCCGCCCTGGGCTGGCTGCAGGCGACTCAACTGCAGGCGGCCACCCCGGGAGACCACGCCCTGGGCCACACTGCTCTCTGAGGGGAGAAGGGAACATTGGGCCTTCACCGTGGCCCCGGGGGACCACCACGGACCAGACACAGATGTCACAAGACTCCTGGAGGGTGTCCCCACCACCCACACTCTCCATCATTCTCTCCAGCCCCACGTCTGCCCAAGGCCGTCACTAACCCAGGCTGACCTGCCCTCCCCCGAGGCCCACATTTGCAACCCGGAATTTACTGAGCACCTATTACGTGCCCCAGCCTTGAGCCTAGGAATCAAAGCTGAATAAGACACCAGCCCTGTCCTCAAGGAGTTCAAAATGTATCCGAGGAGACAGACAGAACACAAGCAGAGCCCCATGAAACCCCTAATAGAGCCCAGGACCCAGGGGGAGGGTAGCCAGAGAGGGTGTCAGACCACCCTGGAACGTGCGCAGGACTCAGCCGGTGAAGGCGCAGGGTGGGTACTGCAGCCAGGGGAGCAGCAGACAAAACAGGAGAAACAACAGCACCCAGGGCCCAGCTGTGCCAGCCTCAGTACCCTCCAGCTTCTTGCTGATCAACTCCCTCGTTATCCAACAGGGTGCACTGACCACAATGTGCACTGACCACAATGGGTCCCGGCCCCAACAGGGTGCACTGACCACAATGTGCACTGACCACAATGGGTCCTGGCCCCAACAGGGTGCACTGACCACAATGTGCACTGACCACAATGGGTCCCGGCCCCACACTGCACTAGAGGACCCAGAGACAACCAGAGCATGTGAGACAGCAGCCGGCTGGCTGAGGACATCTGAAATGTCTTGGCCCAGTTACAGAGGGCTGGGGATATTGTGGGGAGATGATGAAAGATACAAGGTCCCTGGTGGACAGGCGGAAGTTGGGGGAGGTCAGCAGGGGTGGAGGCAGGAGAGACGTGGGAGGCAGGAAGAAAGAGGTTTTGGTGGGGCTATGCATTCAGGACAGATAGAGCATAGCAGGGTCCTGCCCCAGGGCAGGTGGTGGCAGGAGCCAGGTAATGGGCAATCATTGGCCCCATCCCCCCACTACCCACCACCCACGGGCTCCATGGGGATGGGGAAGGGGGCCCACAGCGCCATGCATGTCACAAGATGCACCAGGGGCATCCGCCGGGCAGTGACGGAGTGTGCCCTGACAGACATCATATAATGCCACAGTGTCAATTCCACAGTGTCAATTCCACATAGCAACCTGGTCTGTGGAACTGAACCATGTTGGTAAGTGCTACGTATACTCAAGATCCCTGAAAACCTGTCCACCCTGAAATGAGTACACGCATGTTCACAGCGGCGTTACTCCTAACCGTTAAGACGTGGACACAACCCACATGTCCATGAGCTCACTGATGGCTTAATAGAATGTAGCCACACCCCTCGACTGTCCTGGGCAACAATGAAATGAGGTTCTGATCGCTGCCACACCTGGGTGAACCCTGGAAACATCCCAAGGGGAAGAAGTCAGTCCCAAACTGTGGCAGTTACATCATCTACTGTCAACTTGAGGAGGGGGCGGAGTCTAGCCTGTCAATCAGGTCGCAGCTTGATGACCTCATTTGGAGGCACAATGGAGATGAAGAGCTCACTGGCAGCCCGACACAAGACACACTCTCTCTCCCTGTGAGACATTCCTGTTGACAAGCCACATGGAGCTACACTGATGTAGCCAGAGCCCTGGAGCTGGAGGAACCACATGAAGACCCACGCCAGCACTGAGAGGCTTCCATCGCCACTGGTTCCACAAGACTTTCTACCCACTGGTCTGTGATCTTCCTGCATTTGGCATTGTTGCTTAGCTGCATGAGTCTGAAGAGGAATTAATAGACTGGTATCGGACATATGGGCTAATATCGGACATATGGACTTGATCTGGACTGGGCTGGGATGTTTTCTTAATATACAATTACTCTTTGATGTAAAGCTCTTTCTTATATACATATGAGTGGCTATGAATTTGTTTTTCTAATCCACCCAGACTAACACACAAACATGCAGTCCAATTCCAGTCTGGTTGATACCAGCAGGGTCCTGAGCAGGTCGGTCCAGAGAGACAGAAGTAGCCTGGTGATTACGTAGGGCTGGGAGGCTTGGGGGAAATGGGGGGTGGCTGTTGATGGATATGAGGTTTCTTGGGGTGGGGGGCATATAATGCTCTTAAATTAATTGTAGTGATGATTGCACAACTATGGAAATATGAAAACGATTGAACATACAAACGTACAGTGTCGTGGGCAACCGGATGGTGTGTACGATCATGTAAAGGACGAAGGGGCGAGAGCTCAGGCGTATGCAGGAGCCGTGGGGCTTGGCTAGAATAGGGAGCGTGCATGTGCGGAGGCAGGTAGGTGGGCCACACATGGCCCCTGGGGCATGGCTCTCAGGGCTACCATAGTGAAAGGACGGCCCACAGACAACCCACCCGAGGCTGCATTTGCAGCACCCTTTGCCATTGGGTGGTGGCTGGATTGCAGGCAGAGGGCGGACTCCGCAGACCAGTGTGGGGGCTGCTGGCCTCATGGAAGGGGAAGGAGGAGGCTAAGGGTGGGGAGCCCGTGCCAGAGGTGTTTCCTGGCTGGCAGGACAAAGGATCCACAGGGTGGACGGGACAAGGGGTAGAGGATGGGACAAGGCACATGTCGGGATGGGCTTGGTGCCCAATGGTGGCCCTGGATAGAACCGAGTCAAGAGAGAAGCCACTTCTGGAGCAAGCTCAGTGTCAGGCCCTCAGGACCCGCCCTGCACAGTGTAGAACCTGTGTCTTGTGTCTCTGGAGAGCTGTTGGGACAGACACAGGTGTCACCGCTGCCCTGAGTAGCCCAGGTGTCCCACCCTGGACGTCCATGGGAGCAGTTCCGGATGGATATTGGGATTTCAGGGACCG